GGTGGGCGTTCTATAACTTTCTGGAAGGGAGGAAGGAGGGCAGTCTGACTGGCTCCCTGCTCGTTTAGTTGTTTGTGGTTAGGAAAGTTGCCTGTGGGCTGATGAGGAACCTTGTTGTGGCCCTGCCGTGGGGCACCATGCCCAGCTCCTCCCGCCTCCAGAGATGAGCACCCTCTGAAGAGCCCGGAGGGGCTGACGCCAGCCCGCTGTGTCTGCCTCCTCTCCACAGGAGTCATTTCCTGTTTTTCCCTTGAGTTAGCTTGAGTGACCTGGTTCTTGACACAGGTGTGTTTCTGATGGAAACACCACCGGCTTGTACTCCTTGCCCCCCATGCCAGGCAGGCTTTCCTGGGTGCAGGCCGTCCACCCTGCACTGTGGCATCTTCTGGCCCCTCCTCCTCCTCAGCACCCACCCACGCTGGCTTCCCTGAGAAGCCAGAAGCCGCCGGGCAGGATTCCTTAGGCCTGAATGGTCCGGGGGGGAGGGCCGGGAGCCGCAGCACAGCAGCCACTTTCCACCACACCATGTCTTTCTCAACCGTCCACACTGGCCCCTACAACTGCATTTGTATCTCAGCCTCTCTCGGAGACAGAAAAAAGAGGAGGGTGCCAAAAGGACACAAAAAGTGGCAAAACGGTCATGCTTTTAAAAAATTATTTTAACAGCTTCATTGAAATATAATTCACATACCACAAAATCCACCCATTTAAAGGGCCTAATTGAACAGTTTTGAGTATATTCACAGGGTTGTGCAACGTTCTTACGATCTAATTGTAGAACATTTTTGTCCCCCTACAAAGAAACCCGGACCTCCTAAGTCTCTCCCGCGTCCTTGTAGCCTCACCAACAGCAGTCAACTCACCAGCACATGCACTTACCACGCAGGGTCTTCACGCCTGGCCTCTGCCACCCAGCGTTGTCCCCAAGGCCCACCCGCTTCATAGCGTGCGTCAGCGCCTCACTCCTTTGTGTGGCTGAGGAATATTCTATCACCTGCATCTTGTTACTCACTTACTGGGGGGTGGACATTTGGGTGGTTTCCGCCTTTTGACCATTACCGACGCTGCAGTAGAACGGGTGCATTTGTGAGTCGTTTCTCTCCGTATATGCCTGGAGTGAGGCGGCTGGGCCCT